AAGTTGGCGTAACTAGTGGCAAACCTAGTCCCCATAGCTGTACCTCTTTTTTGTAAATAAAAGGAGTCTAAAAAACAGAAATAATTGTTATTTAAAATAATATTGATACCTTCTATTATAAAATCTATTTGAGTGTTAGGAATCCTAGCTTCTTGGGTTAAAATTTCTTTTATAGCTTGACAACCAATATCATGAGGGATAATGGTGTAAAGGGACTGGACATCACATGTGACTAGTATAAAATTATTTTTCCAAGTAAAATCATTTAAAAATTTTAAGAGTGACATGGAGTCTTTTAAATAGGATTTCATAAGTCTAACCGCAGGTTGGAGACGGGTATCTATATATTGGGAAAGATTACTTAAAAGTGAACCTATCCCAGAAACGATAGGTCTTCCTGGAGGGTTTTGTTCATTTTTATGGATTTTTGGAAGAAAATAAATGACCGGGGTAATTGGATGATTTTTATTTAAAAAATTATATTCATGTTTGTTTAAAATTTTTTGATCTAGACCCTTATTTAAAAAATTTGATAAAATAGTTTGGATATTTTTGTTCGGATCATTTAAAAGTTGTTCGTATACATTGCCATCTTTTAGTTGTCTATGGGCTTCATCTATATACATTTTACTGGATTGAATGACTATAAGTAAAAATGACGAAGAACTTGTCCCTTCTACCTTATCCCTTCCCTCAGAGACAGAAAATAGTCCTTTTTTAAACACACATTTGAGAGAAAGATCTAAATTTTATCCATCCCATTTTAAATCAGCTCCTTTAATTTTATTTGAAAAACTTGTTCTTAAAGATTTAGAAAAAATCAAATATAAAAAATATGACCCCAACAACCTCACGAATAACGAAAGACAAGCAATCAAAGAACTTCAAAAAGACTGCGATATTGTCATTAAACCAGCTGACAAGGGGGGAGGAGTAGTCATTCAATCCATGCCTTTTCCCTTTTTTTTCTTTTTCCATCAATAAGGTGGATTTGTTTAAACTTTTGTTTTTCAACCAATTAACTCCTCTGTAATAAGTACTATAAGTGTCATATTTTTCCTTATGCTATTATTTTAATTTGGTGTTCTTTACTATAAACTACATTTCCCATAAGGCTTTTCGGCTTTTATTGCCGAAAACCACGTGACCTCTTCTTTAAGCTTTTTATTTTTATCAGCCCCTCTATTTTTAACGAGTCTCCTCGTTTTTATATGGCCCCTTCGTTTTTATATTCTAACTATTGCTGCCACACTATCCCAGTCCGTTTTCAGGACTTTTAAAACGTCCGCCGCCATTAAACTACATTACCCATGCTGCTTAGCGGCGGTAACTTCCGAAACGCGGAAGTGCCGCCGGTCACGTGATTTTTTAAAATTATCTCAAATTACACTTTTAAACCTTCGTTTTTATTGTATATATAATTTAATGTAGTTGTATCATCAAAAACTATGTGTCAAATTAGTTATGATGTATTTTAAAGCTGTATAAGTGGTTTTAATTCTGATTGGTCAAACTAAGTTTTGGCGCCAAAATTCAAACAATTATGCTCTTATATAACATCTATGTGCCAGGTTAATCATGTTATTCCATTTGATAAAGTCCCTTTGTGACGAAACGCGTTATGGATATTTAAATTGTGTTTTTATATATATTAAAGTATTTTTGGTCATTTGCTTGTGCCAATTATCTTTTTTATAGACACATATTATTCTTATTTTACCCTGGCCTTTTTTTATTGTTATTTTAACTTTTTATGGTTTTAAAAGAAACCTAAAAATTCCTGGAAGTTTCCTGTACCCAAAGAAATCCGTAGGTGGGGATCAATCCACCCAAGCTATCATCAAAGAGCAGTGGGTCTGCTCTTTCTTTGTAAGTACATTTCTTTTATTATTTTATTATTGTTTGCCATACAGTGAGCACTATTGGCTGTTTATTTTATTTTATCCCGAGAATTGGATACCATCCACGGAGAAGAACCTGCCTATATCCCATAAGCGGGGATTAAACCGCTGTACGCGCTTTACTCCAGAGCTGGACATTAGCTCTGGTAAATGTGAGTTTTATACTATCAATTTTACGTCTATATCTGAATTTTACATACTATACCATTGGATGTCCCTTTTTTTTCTCTTTTTATTTTTCATAAACGAGTGAAATCACCACATAAATAGAAGACCCCACCAACCAAGGATATCTGTAAGAATATACCAGTTGGACTTTTCTCTTTTCTCCTTTAATTGGACTTTACTAAATGTGCGCAGCCTTTTACTGTTTTTATTTTATTTTTTATCCTGCTTTATAGGGTTTGAGGGATTCCCTTTTTAAGGTTGCTGCCAAAGTTATTTAGCGCTGTCTCACTTCCTTTATTTACAACTATCTATCCAGGAAAGAGTTAACTTTTCCTGGTGGCTATTTAGATGTCATTTTGGCTTATCTTTATAGTGGCCATAACTTATGTTTGCTTTCACTTCAAAGGGTTTTCTCTTAGTTTTGTCCAGACTTAGTGTCCGCAATTCCTGCTATAATTTTTGAAATGGCAGGTCATGAACTAAGTTTCACCTTAAATTTACAATGGGGTCTTGTACATATAGAAAGTAAAATTGTATTATTTAATCTCCTCTGTCACAAATGTCTGTGTTTAGATATGCATCTATTCCATTAACATTTAGACAGTCTGTCCAACCCCCGTTCTCCTTATCACTTGGTTTGTATATACTATGCATTCCTTTAGCTCTGGGAAAGTGGTTAGTTTTACAGATAGGATAGAAATTTCGTGTCTCTTTGTTAACTTGAAAATAACAAAATGGAGTCTGGTCTGTTCAGAGTGACTCAGAATATACACTTTTAATTTCTATCGTAGCACAAGATGTCTGCCGATATAAATACCCTGACAACCCACCCACGGTCACTCTCACACAATGCCAAAACCAAAACAGCATACGATAGGGCATTGATTGGTTTCCACAAATTTGGTAGGGAGTTTCACATCATAGATAATTACTCTATCGAGGCCATGGTGGCTTTTGCCTCTTTTTGACACATACACCTCAAATTAACACATAATACTATAAAATTATATCTCAAAGGTAAACAGCACCACGTCCTC